TAGTGTCCGTAATTAGAACAGAACGTTGCAAACAAATATTTCTTAACACATGAGTGCGCTTGAATAAAATGTTGTGATTAAAGAATTAATTGAATAATCAGGCTTAACCAATTCACTTTTTTTTGCCTGTAGTCTCAATAAAGCAGACTACTACATGTCCCATGTCTCCAAGATATAAAGTTAAAATAAATTAATTAAAAATAAATTTGGAAGTGTATGTTCGTAAAGTATACTTACGTGTAATTTAATTTGAGTACACCTCACGACACGTGTCAAATTGAATAACACAAAGTTCAAATATTTCTCTTTACGTATTTTAGTTTCCTCGTTTATTGAGATAAATATAATTATTTTTACTTTACTAGACTTTGAATAGATTGAAAAATAAAATAATTTGAATTGTTCTGGCTTCGAGTTTAAAGGAAACCTGCTTCTAGTTTGACGAAGTTAGTTCCTTTTTGTCTCTGCGTAGGGGTGTGGGCGATAACAGAGGTATAGAACTGTGTCTTTATATGGTGGTGAAGTTTGCAAGAACATATATAATAAAATGCTACTCTGCAGTTTGAGGCTTACAACACAAGGCATTGAGAAATTTAACAGCAAACTGTTGCACGTGGTAACTCCACAAATTACTTGGCTGTAGTCTGTACAATGGTGCTTGCTAGTTCAACGGAAACTTCGAGAGGTACTGTTTCAAGCCTCGACAACAAAGAAATCAAGAATAGTCTCCCGAGGACGAATCTTGCTTCCCTAATTTAACACAACAGTTGCTATAAGCAGGCATACATACGAAAGTTTTAGTATGAACGATTAAAGCGAAGGTATCAGCTGAATAATATTAAGGTAGATGTTAAGAAATATGATGTGATAGTGTGACCTGTTGTCTGACTCAGCATAGGGTCCAGTGGCGAGCCTCTGTGATCAAGGTAGTGACCTTCGGTCTTCAGAAAGAAAAATCGAGGAATTGCTTCACCAGCGACTTAACTTAACTTATAAGGAGTCTGCTCCATGGAGTCAGGTGTTACAAATTGCATGTAATATTTGTTCCCTACGTAACTCTTTGACTTATCATTGTGAATTTGTATTTGTTTGCTGCACATCGGTTTTGTGGATGTAAATAATATGGATCGAACGGTTTTCGTTCGGTTATCGACACGAATATTGATATTTGAATTAAATTTATGAGTGCACGTAATCTGTTTAACTCATAAGCTATTTACAGAAATTGACAGTCCGTCTACAAAACAAGCTCCAATTATAGTTCCAATGTTTATTGATAATCCACTATACGTTTCGACTTTAATTGGTCATCATCAGGTGGTTCTTATAATTTACTTGGATTATGGCATATCATCGTATGGGACAGAGTCAAGTTTAATATTGTCTTCAAATCTACGCTGTCATCTTTCAGCTGGCTCTTTCCATGATGATATTAAACCAAATTTTTGCATGCGTTTCTTGTTGCCTACAAATTTCCTCAATATTACATTATATAGTTTGTGTCAGAACTGTGAAGTTCTTCGTTATGAACTTTTGTTAATCACACTTTCCTCTCGTAGGGCCAAATTTTCTCCTCAGCACTTGGTTTTGAAACACATTTAGCCTGTTTTATTTAATGAGATTGAAATAGTTTCTCGCCATTGTAAATGGCGGTATATATACACACAGTTATTAATTTAAGACATTCTCAGGAAAATTACAAATACTGGACTCTTACTGACCTTCGAGTTCTTGGTACATCAGAATGAAGGCAGTGAGTGATCCAGTATCAAACTACTTCAGACAGAGATAAAGGCTAGCTTTATATAATATAATAATGTCTTATTTTTATTCATTTATTTCTGGTTTATTTAAAACCTCTGCCAATATCTTAGTTTAAAGCGTCGAAAGATAAGTAATTATAAATAGGTTGGAAGGACTGAAAATTGTAGTTGTGGCCTAATTTATACACATTTCTACAGGGACTAAGGAAAGAAGTGAAGATAGCCTATCTCCGGTCCGAAATTTGAAACTAGGATCTGCAGAATGCGAAGCTGAAATGTCTTTAATGTGCACGACAGTTTACAAGCTGGCCCGATTTTGATCCATGTTTACGAGTAGAAATCCGATAACCTAACCATCCTTTACTGTAGTCAGCATGTTCTTTTGATACGCTGCCAATATGAAGCGAACGACTAAACATATTTGTGAGGAAATGCTGAAAGATCTATAACGACAGCTCTTGTCAGTGCTATCAGAAATGAAGTAATTATCAGTCTCTGCTTGATGATGTTGCAACTAGCTGGTATTCTTTGCATCTTTTTAACCAAAAAGGGCATGGGAAATTAAAAGCGAGGGATGGATTATTAATTTCTGTTTTAAATTATGAGTAGCTTCTATGGAAAATTCTACATCTGGTAGACTCCTTTTGAGACATTCACAGAGTCACTTGCCATCAGAAATAGGGAAATAAGAATATAATTAAGTAGGGTTTGAGGTTCTCAGGGCTTTGAGTACGATGATGGGTGTCTTCTGGGTTGTAGCGCCGTGTTATCTGCTACAAGTTTACCAACGTTTCAGAGGTCTTAGCTACTTCCATCATCAGGGTAGCAAGGACTTCAATTGATTTGGTAAGGGTGACTGTCTGCTTATTTTAGGGTGTTAAAAGCGAAAGACAGTATCCTGGTCTTGTAAATTGAATTCTGAACTTTCTTTTGATGTTCCACAATGCAGGCGGTGGAGGTCAGCTTAGAACAATGGCTGCCAAATGTCGCACAACGATCAAGTCCCGTTCAGCTTTGTTTATTTTCTAGTATCTCTCTTTTATAATATGTTTTTATTTCATTTCTTTCCCCTTTTTTGTTTACTCACCCTACATTTCATCCCCTTGTCGCTTGGTTGCTTGAAACCCTCCAGGGACCACAACGCCAGCACCACCCTCTTCTGCCATTTTCGACTCACAAAGGCAGCGAAAAGAATAGTTATTCCATTTTTCTTCTTTTCTTCTTTTTTTTGTTTCCCTTTGCTCCCCGTCTATTTCCGTGTTGTCTCTTGTGATTTCAAAACGTATTTTCACTCCATGAGATTTTACTAATTCTGTTTTCGTTCGTCTTTTCTTTTGTTGGCCTGACCTTTAAAACGAATGGATGGAAGAACCGACATTTTTCCCGTCAAATTTGCACGTCTTTCATATCCTGTTCTCATGCCTTTCATTTCCTTCCGCGTGGAAAAATCAAAAAGAAAGAAAATGCATCCCGTAGACGAGCAAATAAATCGTCCTTAGATCAACGGTTTATTGAAACTCATACCTTCCATTTTATATCTAGTTTCGTCAGATGTTACAATCGCTCAACTGGCCAAGTCGAGGAGCTTCAGAGAAACAAAAACTTGAAGTATGTTGCCCGCCTCGCAAGCAAAGTAATCTGATATTTATTTAGCCAATCCCCACTTTGGAATGGATCGGATTGGTGACTTAAAATTTCGTTTATACACATCGGAGTACGTTGTCACGTTTGTCTTCGGTCGCTTATACAGAACCTGCATTTGACTTAATAAATCTTGTAAGGTAAATCTTAATTTTAACCATTTCGCCGCTTCAAGTGAGAATACAGCTGTATTAAGCCTACGTGACCTACGAATGTTCAATTGGAATGCTACATTCGAAGGTCGAATGTCAAAAGTCAGATACGTTCTTACTGAAATCGATATAATTCTACCTGAAGCCTTGAGTAGGTCTTGCTGCATTCGATCGAAAGTTTAAATGTTGATACTAACCTTAGGAATTAGCATTTTATGGAATTCTGATGTGTACATGGAGCGGAGGGTTTCCTTTAGCCTAAACTGCAAATATTAACATTGGTGAGAATTCAGGTTTACACGGTGGGTAATATAAATGTTCCTCTTTTCAGGGATGTCGCCGCTTATAGTCTGGTAGAAATTGTCCGACGTTTCATAGGTGCTAGTTGCATCCATTATAAGCACATTACCCTGATTTGTATGCATAAAACTGTCTAAATTTGATAAATATTTTAAATTTGATTAAATTTTAAATATTTAAATGTAATTGATTGTACATTTGATAATCTTTTTCCAACATTTGATAAATGTCGGTAAAAGATTATTTTTACTATCACCGTCAAATACCAAAATATTCATATTAGATGAAATACATGTTTCTAAGGGATAATCTCATTCGTTGGTTTCAGAACTTAATCAGGTTTGGAGGTCCTTATACCCTAACCACTGGTAGTAGTTGACGGTGCTAATGGCGGAGGTATCACCTTTAGTAGATCGATCTTTCTGCACAAATTAACAGACTTGTCCCGAAAATCAAGTTTCTTTAAATAGTTAATTTTTAATTAATCAGCACTAACAGATATAACAGTTTACAATAGTTGATGGTAATAATATATTAAAATACGAAATATAATGGAAATGCACAGGTGATGTACTCTAATGTTTTCCTGTTTATTCGGAAACCAAACGTTAAAAGTAATTCATACTTTACAGTGAAGAGTTCTAATAAGACCACTGCTGCTGGAAAGAATGCTATTACTTTTATTTGTGTCTTTGTGAGGACTTAAGTCAGATCTGATTTGCGTTTGCTTGAGCCCTTCTTATCGAACACTAATGCACATTGTATGCTGTGACACAGCAGGAGCATGTGAAATCACATCCATTGTCATGGCAACCATGTTCCAGTAACGTTCTGTGAAGAACGGCGAGTGTATGTGACATCAGTTTTGTACGAAATCATTTTTGATGTGTGTAGTTAAATCAAATATGAATATTACTACCAACTTCAAAACTCTTTATTTCTTTATCTCTTTATAGTTGTGAGAGTAGTAATAACTTTTATATTTAAGAACCTAATATAAAGTTCTAAATATCTACGTCCACTGTTAGACAGAGGTGCTTTCGATGCGTTTGATTTTTAATTAAACGTGATTATCATTACATTATGTGCATGAACGTAAAACATATGTGTGGTTCTGTCAGTCATTTACGCTTTTAATTTACAGGTGTATTGAAGTGAATGGTTTTAACCGAAGAGGAACATTATTTGTGCCAGAAGACTTCAAATACTTCGCTTCATGTGACCGCATATATTGACAATGAAGCCATCAACGAAAGGTCAGTGATTGGTTTTAATTACGATATGAGGTTAGTTTATTTTATTATTAACCTAACACCAGGATTTGCTTAATAATGGCCAGAGGTTTATATGATTTTTCTCACATAACAAATAACGTGGTAGTGAACAAATGTATTACACATTATATTTTAAAAGTATACTATTATGAAAATTTGTGTAACTATATATAACGTCTCTGCATTTTGTATTCGTATCTAACTGTTAAAATATTTGGTTTTATTTTCTTCACCTTTAATGCAAAGTTGCAGTAACCTAATAACTTAGTCATGTTTGTATTATAGAAAAGTTTAAACATTAATAACAGTTTTCTCACAGATTACTAGAAAGGGAAAAAGTTAGATTTTATTGAATTAAGGAAAAATAGATACGAATGCTACAAGATTCAGAAATAAACTTCTCGAATATCTCTACATATACAAATAAAGTTTGTGCAATGAAATTTGTCTCGTTTGCTTGATCGATACTTTCAAGGGGCAAGCTTTTAGAGAAGTATTTCTTAATTGTTGATACTTCAAAACTCATCCATTTAGTTATGTTCTTTGGTTGTCTTGAGTGCGTCTAGGCTGCTCGTACTTTGACTTGGGTTTATTCTCTGGTTCGTGCCGCAGAGACTGTTGTCGGTGTGTACAGACGGCTGCTTTACCGCTCTAGCCCGTAGCTCCGGTTGATCGCTCCCGAAACCATTTACGGAAACACGCACTGCAAAATCGCGACCCACTAAAATAATTTCTTATGGGATTAGGGACATCAAAAACAAACGAAGCACGATAGTTAATTATTAATAATACGAACTCATTGGTGCTAGTATTTACTGGGACGACGTCGAATTTCCATGCAGAAAAATGTCAAGGTTTTCAAAAGACAAAATGCATGACAGAGGGGGAGACAAGGAGACTTAATGAAGGTGATCTTCGGTTAATTTGCCTTCTTCTGTAAGCATTTAACACACCTCCTTTCATGGTGCCATGAAAGCCGCCATCTTCTGTTCTTTACCAGTACGTACTTCACGCTTTACAAATATAATTAAACGGTAGAGCAACAATTAGTTGTAAATATTGCATGAAGTACAGTTGATGTACACACAGTGTCTCTGGACATCGACGTACTGTGGCAGGCCGGCGGTTTGCGGACTGTGCAGAATTGGTCCTCCGTGCGCCTGCGCAGGAGCGACCGAATGAACGAGGGAGTTTCGCTGCGATGCACGAATATTACCACTGTCTTTTTTCCCCCCGAGAATATGAGCAAATCCGTGAAAAACGACGGTTTCCTGCACCAAAGACCTGCAACTCGGTTTTCATTAGCTATGGAAAAAAACTGCAATCACCTCTTTAAATGACCAGTTTGTATATTTGCACTGTGAAATTTTACAATGACCACGATCGATTGTGTTTACGTTGCGACATGTAAACATGTTGGATACGTTTCAGTTCCATACGAGACCTTGCATTCAGGTAAATATTGAACAATTCACATCAAATTATTTATGATCCAGATCACAGAGTACGATTTGAACTTCTCACGGTGGTAGAAGTTTACCGACGTTTCAGATGTCTTTGCTGCCTCGTGAGAACCTCAAATCCTATTTAATATAAATTTAAAAAAAAAAAATTATACACCATTCAAAGTAGTTTCCTTTTATGTAGGTATGATCAAGTAAATATTAATAAAGAATTAAATTATACATCGCATTGCATGAAAGGACGTGAAACCAATGCAATAAAATTCTACTTTTTATATTCCAATGATCTGATATGTCAACGTCATACGATTTGTTTTAATATTTATTAACCCGAATGGAAGCCATTGTTAATGTTGTTTTTAATCTGGCCTCAAATTACGGCATTAAATTGCTGCTCAGCTGATATTTGTTTTATAATCACGTGAACGCACGATATGCGTCTTCGAGCTGTACAATGTGGTACTAACAAAGCATTTTCGTTATAAATTGGAAAACTGCATAAAACACGGCGATATTGATGTGTTGTATGACCGATCGGAAATAAAAAAATGGGGATTGTACATTTTCCATGGTCCTCTGAAACAATCGACAAAGCACACTACGTTACTGAATAAATTACTCTGAAAGCAACGTATGACACAAACGTCCATTCCTGCCAGGGAATTTAATGCGGGAGTGGTATGTTAAAAACAACATAAATGATTTACTATTTTAAGATAATGTGAATGTTCAAATGAATGTTTTATGTGAAAGTAAACGCAAAAAAAACTAAGTATATGTCTATGTCTATTTTATGTGAAAGTAAACGCAAAAAAAAACTAAGTATATGCCTATGTCTCGTCTCCATATTGCAGGACCAAATCGAAATGTAGATAGCTAATAAATTTTTATAAAATATTGCTAAGATCAGGAAAAACTTAGTTTGTTAAAATTAAGTGCAGTGTTTGTTTGAATTAAGTTATCTTGGGTTAGGTTAGGATAGGTTAGTGACGCGCATGAGCAGACGATCATGTAAAATGATCAACTGCTTGGGGGTCGAGATATTAATTTGTTTATGTTCGGTTATTTTGAATTAGGTTAGTGACGTACATGCGCAATGATCAGCTGCTAATGGACGTTTCGTTTGAGTCTTGATACTTGTTCTTCAGTTGCTCTGCTCGAATATCTGTCACATTATAAAAATATCCGAGTTGGATTGTTATTTATACTTGTTTTCATCAGTCTTCCATCGAATGTCTGGATCATCCTCTAAATATACCACTTCCACCTCCTTCCAAATCTTTATTTAAGGTTGCTCATCGTCTGTAACTATCTTCATGTATAATCCGACCCAGTTGTGGTTAAAATTGTGTCGAAAAATAGCCAAATACAAAGGGGGAAGAAGTAGCACAGGTTTAAGTGTTGACTGTACGTATTCATATTGTATTTCGAATAAATAAAAAATCAGTTCCCCTCTCTCTCTCTCCCTGTTTACTGTTTCTTTAGGAATATACAGAATTAACCCAAATGGAATGAGCGATTTAAAATATTTATGTAACAGAAACCGAACTGCGTATTGCGTTGGAAAGAGAATTTCAAGCAAATTATGTAGCATGTGTCAGAAGTGGCGTAACTCCAGCGATGGTTACTAGGCAATAAAATGGCTACTGAAGCCAGAGATGGTTTTTTGTGGGCTCAAGTTCCAGTCCCCAAGATCTGTGATCGCTGTTCAGTGAGGTTTCCGGATAGATTTCCAGAAAGGCCTCCCTGTAAAAATACAGTAAACTGTCTATTATCCAGAAATATCTACAATAATTTTTGGAAAATTAAAATCACCTAAGCAGATTACTGCATTGAGGATAGATATCTACAATAATTTTTGGAAAATTAAAGTCACCTAAGCAGATTACTGCATGGAGGATAGGGAAGGTCTACCATAATTGAAAGACAGCGTTATAGTATTTAACTTCCTAATACAAAGTCGTCCTTGAGAAGTATATATTTACTTTATGTAATCTGTATCTGTCTTATGTATTTAATTCTTTGTTGTATTCTAAGCTAGCTAAACCGAATCCACATCATTAAGCTTTTTTAGGAATATTTAATTGTCCTATCAGCTGATCTTAAATCTCCATAACATTTTCTGTCTTGAATTTTTTCCAAACAAAATCCTCTACTCATTTATCCCTTACTGCATGCGTGTTAGTATGTCCAATCATCTCACGGTCATTTCATTTATTAAGTTTAAAAATATTCGTTGAAAACTACAAATTAAGAAGATCCTGTAACTGGGGAAAAGCTCAGTTGGCTGGCCACAAGCTTGGTTACCGGACTGCGATTCTTGAAGTTTATTCGATTCATTAAATTGTCCACTGTTTCTTACCTAAAATGATTGGCGTTTGTCTCCACGCCCTTTTACGTCAGCAAGGAACCCACACGTATTTTACCTCATTGTAATTTCCTCCATCTTCCTGTTAATATAATGGCGGTACTTGCATAGCTGTGGTTCTAGTGTACTAATCCTATTTCATTTTGAGATAGAATTCTGACCGCTATCAATTATTTGATAGTATCTAGATTTGGGCTGTCAGACCACCGGCGAAGAATGGCGTAATAAAGTTTATTCTCATTCTGTGGTCCTTTTTGACTTTCTATGCGTTGTCTACTCTGATTAGAAGCTGTCACTGCACAATGGGTCTCTCAGTTCAGTCAGATATTACACTGGTATTGCTTTTCCCTCATGCATGTTCTGACGTACTCCAGCATATTTCATGGACACGCGACCCTCCCTTTGTCAAATACGGCAATCTCGGTCAGTATTAATAATTGACCGAACTTACAGAGGGAAGAACAAATCCCGGTTGTTTGTAAGGTTTATGGGGTAAGGAACGCCAAAAACATCACGTAACATACGTGCAAGAATGAAATAAACAGAATTATGCGGTGTTGGGCAGAAGTACTTTGTGTTCTGATAAAGTTGTCTTTCTAATCTTGAAACTAACTTCATAATGCAGAGGAAGACAGCGGTTAATAGTTTAAAGTACAGACGTAAACTGAAGTACTGCCTTCTTTAAAAATTGTGTAACTCTGGAATTTTGTCTGCAGAGCATAGGATGTGCTTAACGGATTTCATATGATTCTGTGAACAAAAAAGACTTTTCCCCCTCTGAATAGCACTTAACGGATTTCATATGATTCTGTGAACAGAAAAGACTTTTTCCCCCTCTGAATAGCACAAAGCAATTGAAGTAAGAAAGAGAAAATCTTCTTAAAAAGCGTTCTTTACGCAAGTTTATAAACAGGAACCATAATGGAGTAGATGTGCCAGTGCGTTTACATGTTTCGTCTCCGAACGTACTGAACGTATTAACACTTGGGGGGGGGGGGGGGGGGGTGAGAATATAATTGAGTGTGCCTTTGCGAAGTATTATCTCTGTTTCTGTCACAGGAGTGTCAAATAAGACAAACCAACAGACGTATATCTGTGTTCAATACCGCAGGACTTCAAAGAAATTAAAATTTATGAAGGACTGTGTGTTT